GATGTATTTGCTTGGTTGTTTCAAGATATGCATGAATTGGATACTGATATTGTAGAGCACCGACTGCCGCTTAAACCAGAATGTTCGTCAGTGAAGAAAAAGTTAAAAAGAACTCATCCTGAGATGGCTGCTAACACTATGCCAAAAAAGACCTTTAGCAGCGCTTTTTTTGGCCTTTAGCAGCGCTTAAAAGCGCTGCTAAAAGTGGCGCTGCTAAAGGTAAAGGCAGCGCTTTTTTTATGGAAAAAGCGCTGCTAAAGGCTCCCTTCAGCAATGCTTTTAACAGCGCTTTTGTTACCCTATAGCAGCGCTTCTAAAGCGCTGCCTATTCCCCCTTCTCCTCCCTTCAGCAACGCTTTTAGCAGCACTTTGTTCACCCTATAGCAGTGCTTTCTAAAGCGCTTTCTTTAACCCTCCTATAGCAGCGCTTTTTTAAAGTGCTTTCTTAGACCCCCCCCCTTTTCCAACCTATAGCAGCGCTTTTTTGGCCTCTCTTTGCCCCCTTTAGCAGCGCTTTTTTTTAAAAGTGCTGTCTATTCTTCACGATTTAATTTTTTTATTTATAAATAATCACATTTTTTATATATTTTTCGATAAACCTGCTTATAACAATTACATTCCCTGCTTATAATTCAAGCCTTTAATTCAACAGTTTGGCCTTATATATAACAATTACTTTGGCCTTATTTATGTGTATTCATCACTTTGCCCATAACCATTTTAATACACATAAACCTGCTTAAATATATTACAACATCACAAATACATTCAATTTACAACATCACAAATACATTCAATTTACATATAATTACAAATTCGATAACTTTACAAATAGATACGTTATACAATTCTCAACTCAAGAATAAATTGACACCAGTCCTCCTTAATTTCTTCTAATCTTGCTTTCGAGTAAGTACCGCACTTGTATTCATCAAAGTACTACATAATATAACAGAACATGCACGATTTAATTTTAAAACTAATTACTCAGATGAAATATCGGTTAATTATCAAAATGAATCATATAACTTATGAATTGATCCATACCATGATTGGAATCTCTATTTGACCTGAAAGGATAATTTCCTTCATAAAGCGCAATACAAAATATCCGCAGTCAATTCCATTGCGCTGACGAGGACACTGTAAATGGAAAAAACAAACGAACATTTACTAGGATATATAGTTTAAATAGTTTTATCAAGTAGAACCACTATAACAGTCAAACATGGGAAAATATACCTCCACTCTGATTCAGCTGATGTTGTTAGCCTTGCTTTTTGGCCCTGTTGCATCTCTTTGTGCTCTGAATATTTGTATAACTCTAACATAATATAAACAAATATTTAGAACAATGTCACATAATAAATAAAGATATATAACTATTCAGAACAATATATCTCATCACTTACGTATCAACCATGTTCTTCAAATCAGGATATTTTGTTGTATCGCCATCCAATGAATCTATATAATACACTATTTCTTTGATCGGATTAATTGCGACCAACAACCAGTGTCCACTATAAAATAAGACAACAGTTTAGACGGAAATGTTATATAGATTAATGGCAAAAATCGAATAATTATAATAAATAAATTTAGAATAAAATCTAACCCATGGCCAGTATTATATGGCAACAAGAACAACTTCTCTGTAGTCGCCGCCATAAATCTTTGGACCATGTAATCTTTGACTGTATCTGGTGTGTGCTCTATTACCCGTGCGTTGATACAACTAGCAGATAAGAATGTGAATATGGAAGTCAAATCATGTGGGACCAACAACTTGTCATACAGGAGTCTAAAAGAAAAGCATAATCAACATTAGAATATTCAGTTAAATGAGCAAATTTTAAAATGTTCAATTATTTAATTAAAATGGATCGGAGTACCTGATGTAGGAATGCATAACACCGACGCCCAATTCAGAATGTTGGAAAACCTGGTCAAAATCCTCCTTAGCAAGTGTTCTGGGATATTCAAAACCGAAAATACCTTCCTCCATAGGTATTTGACGGATGCCACCCTCAGTCACATCTGTTTTTCCTAAATATGTTTCAAGGCACATCCTAAATCGAGGAACAAATGCTTTTTTTGACTCGGTCTTTTTTTTGTTGGGCACCTTGGAAGTTTCAGGCATCTTACCCTTGCTGACTTATTGCAACTGCTGATCATGAACCTAAAAGTCATATATAAGTTCAGTAATTAATGTATAACAAGATAACCATGTAACTGTATTAGTACCTGTTTCTTTGATGCAGCTGAATCGGTATCCCGCACAATAATTCTATCATCTTTTGATTTGGATTTTGTAGGAGTCTAAGATCATCATGTAAATAAGAAAATGTAAATGTAAGAATAACTTTCATCTATGGGTCGTTTTCACATTTGAATATTACAAGCTAGGTTCATAATGGTGTTCAACATACCTCATCATCTATGTGAATGAGATTTACCGGCCATGCAACATACGCTCCTATTGCGTCTCCCACCACTGTTGCGTCTGAAACTTCATCTGGTATAGGAAACAACGCACCCCCTCTAACGCAATATCAACCGATACTTTTAAAAATCCAGGAGGGAGCGGTTTATGGTGAAGTAATTCTCCCACATTGTTATGCACCTTTCCCTTGCCAACCAAGTGATAAGTCGGTGACGATAAATATAGCCGACAAGGTGAAATGCCCTAAACAAATAATGATGTTGATTAATGTGTCAATTAAGAAAATTGTGATAAATTAATTTCAATGTAATATATACAATTACCTCTAGAAGCTTCTGCGAACAACCGATACTATCTTTTTCACTATCATCTTTACCCTCTGGACCGCGCCTTTCCGACATGTATCTTTCTTTGTCCTTCTGTAATTCCCGAATCTGTGCTTTCAATTCCTCCAACGTATCCATCACTTATTTATTGCTAGGATTTTTTTTCTTTGGCTTCTTATACAGTTGTGATGGAGTGACGCCAAATCCCTTACCCCCCACACGCCCAGAATACTCAGGGATATTTAACACCCAACTCAGTATGCTCCTATAATCATCGTCCTCAGCTGGAGTTATACTCTGGGATAGAGTATCCTAAAATATAGATAAAAGCATATATAAATATATTATACACTTTTGATCAGTTACTGACAAAACTAATGTTGTACTTACACATCGTTCAAACACTTGTTTAACTTTTTAAACGACTCCATCTCTTCCCACATGGGAAGCCTTCCACACAACATGGTCCGGAAGAGATGTCACATCACTTTTCTCCTCTTCTATCTACGCATTAAGACAGATAATAAACCATTCATATCCTATTATATATACTTACTAATTTTTGTAACTATATCATATTAAAGCATTTATATATACTTACTATTTTTTGTTCTAAGCGTGCATATCCCAAACACCCTTTTTTGTATGGATACACGGGTTTTGATGCCCGTTGCCGATTAACGCCACTCACAACTTGAAAAAACAAGTTTAAGTCATATCAGAACTCTTGTGGAAGAAGTATATATACTATACATTATTCATGATAAGTTGTACTTACTAAAAAATTTTTGGTTCTTCGCTTTGCAACAAATGTCTCCCATTCTTCTTCCGAAATCAGATCAGTGTACTTCTTTGGACGCTCCGAGTCAACAAAGTTTACATCAAAATATTTGAGAAACTTGTTCATTAAAAATGCTCTGAATCCCTTCAGTCGTTTACCGGCCAATTGAAGACAATATTTTCTTCTGCAATCATCAATATTAAAAGATCTCTGCAAACAAATACACATACATATAACATGTTAGTATAATTAATTTAAAGATGTAACCGTCAAGTATCATACTTGTATCTCGCTCTAAATTTTGTCTTTAGCCGGTTGTAGCGACTGAATTCTCCAATTATTGCAAGTAATTGGAATTTGTGAACGTACAAGTGCTCCAATGTAACTTGTCAGCATCGCACCGTTAGGCTCAACTAATTGATCTTTTTCATTCCAATGCACATCATACTTAACACCCTTATCTTTCGCACGGATGATTTTTTTCATAATCGTTATTCCTCTTTTGATATCGCCTTCAATGTCTTTTGTTGTTTCGTTTCCATCATGTGATGTTTCCTCATTGTTGGCCATAATACCTGTAATTCAGAAAAACCAAAGTATCAAATGAATGACATGCAAATATATAAATAAAAAATATATACATAAGAAATATATAAATAAGAGAAACACATAACATGTAAATGTCATGGCAAGAATCCGAATTATTATGAAGAGCCATAAGAGAATAACTGAAGATTGCAGCAACAATATATAGCATGAATTTGATTTTTATTCGATTCAAGAGTAAAAATTCTAAGAGAGAAATTCAGGAGATCAGATTCAAAACAAGATCAATATGTCTTGAAAAGCAAAAAGACATGAAAGCAAAGGCTGCAAAAGAGTACAAAGATGTCAGCAACAAAACAAGAACCCCAAATAAGCTTTCAACAAGAATCTCCTTGAAAGTTTCAATTTTTTCAAAAATAACAATAATGAAACTTACAAGTGTAAACAAATTTTTTTGATGAAGTTCCACTCCAAAAGATGATTGAAAGAAGAGCTGAACTCATAAGAAATGAGTCCAACAATTCATGACAAAAAAACTTAATATTCTCCCTAGCTTTTTCTTTACTAGCCTATTGGGTATTCGTATGACTAGATATGTTTTCCTAAAATCAGACAAGAGTTTGATGTAGAAAGTAACTTCAAAAAAATCTATTATAATCTGTGATCATAATTCACCCACAAGTTGTTGACAAAGTCATAATATAGTGTGAACATGATAACACAGTAGCTCTTAAAAGTCAAAAACTCATGTTGAAATAAATATTTTCACAAATTAGGTACTCTAAATTATTGTCTAGACTTTTACTCAAGTTTTCTCTAAAGCTTCTCATCCAAAGTAGAAATTGGTTTCATGTGTGTGTGTAAGTAATTTTCAATAATAGCATAGGTAGAAAGAGAGAACATGACACCGTTGCTCATCCAAATTCAAAGGTGGATGACGGATACAAAGGTGTGGAGATTTGTTTGCTTTGCATCAGCTATTGTTGGATTGCTTTGTTATGCTCTAAGTTCTTCCTTCAACCATCTATTTGGAAATTGGAATTTCATGAAAATATTTCTTTACACAATTTTCAGTTTCATCATTTGTCTAATCATTTTGTTTGCAAGAACATGGCGAGACATAACAAGTCTTCGGTTCAAAGCTCATTCAACGTTTCTGGTATTGGTAATTACCTCTTTCTATTCTTTTTTCTCTGATAAAGTTATAACTGGAAAACCAGATCTATATAGTTCGATTTCATATGCCGCCTTTGCTCTCATGTCACTTAGTTTATCAAGACAAATTCAATGCGGATTCGAAGTGGATCTTATGTACTTTTATCTAGGATGTTTAATTATACAACTCATGAAGATTAAATTGCCGTTAGCTATTATTGGAGCATGTTATAGCTACTGTCTTATTATTCTTCGTTCTACTTTCTCTTCCTTAAGTGTTTCACCAGAAAATCAGTATCTCGAAGAACAGCGTATAATCATTCGAGTTGATTCACAACAACATGAAAATATCAATACTGGTACCAACGTCATGCAAGAGTTTATGACTTGTATGGATGAGCTTAAGCAGAATAACTCAAACATTTCGTTCACTAACCTAACATTCTAACTCACACTTCAAATTCTTCTAACTAACCTATGTGCTACAGTTCATAATGAAAAGGAAAAAAAACACATTTCATGATTTGTTTTGTTAGCTACAGTGGTATAAGAATCACATTCCATTTGCAAGAAATAGAAAGAATCACATTCCATTTGCAAGAAATAGAAAGAATCACATTCCATTTGCAAGAATCACATTCTACATCATCAAACTCCAATAATGCATTCAACTATCAGAATAATAAAAATGAAAAATGAAAAACTTCAAATACCTCAAAAATGGTGGAAATGCGCCGGTGGTGGAAATGGACGGACGGATGACAGAGACGACCGTAAAAAATGGACGGACGGTGGTGGAAATGCAGCGATGACGAATGAGAGTTAGGGCAACGACGGAATGAGGCACGGACGGAAGGAAAGTGTCGACGGAGTGAATATGGTTCATTTTCGCGCCTGGGAAAGAAGAAGACGAATACTGTTATGTTTCTGCGTTTTAACTGAGAATTTTAAAATTTATTCTACTTAAACCTATATCAGCGCTTTTGCATGGCATTTAGCAACGCTTTGCTAAAGCGCTGCTATAGGTTTGCCTTAGACAGGGCCTTTAACAGTGCTTTTAAAAGCGCTTTCTTAGACCCAGCCTATAGCAGCGCTTTTCTTGAAAGCGCTTTCTTAGAGCCCTTTTTTAGCAGCGCTTTTTAAAAGCGCTGTCTTAGGCCCCCCCCTTTAGCAGCGCTTTTTTAAAGCGCTGTCTTTGACCCCCTCCCTTTAACAGCGCTTTTTTAGAAAGCGCTGTCGTAGGTATGCAATTTTTTTCTTTTTTTTAAGACTCTTTTAGCAGCGCTTTTTCAGAAAGCGCTGTCTTTTAATGCGCTGCTAAAAGTCATTTCTGTTGTAGTGTAAGATTAGAGAAGAAGTGCATAAACAAATTGATGTCAATTTTCTTATCACATCTATTTATCCTCAATGGGTGGCCAATATCCTCCCAGTTTTGAAGAAAGTCAGAAAAATCAGAATGTGTGTAGATTATGAGATCTGAATAAAGCAAGTTCAAAAGATGATTTTCCTCTGTCGCATATTGGCATGTTGGTATACAATACAACTAAATTTAATGTCTTCTCCTTTATGGATGGATTTCCTGGGTATAATTAAATTAAGATGACCAATATCCTCCCAGTTCTGAAGAAAGTCAGAGAAATCAAAATGTGTGTAGATTATGAGATCTGAATAAAGCAAGTTCAAAAGGTGATTTTCCTCTGTCGCATATTGGCATGTTGGTATACAATACAACTAAATTTAATGTCTTCTCCTTTATGGATGGCTTTCCTGGGTATAATTAAATTAAGATGGCACCCGAGGACTTGGAAGAAACAACGTTTATCTCCCCTTGAGGAACATTATGTTATAGAGTGATGCCCTTCAGCTTGAAGAACACTGGTGCTATGTACCAGAGGGCTATGACTACCTTATTCCATGATATGATGCACAAGGAAATTAAGGTATATGTTGATGATATGATTTCTAAGTGTAAGACTGAAGAGGACCATGTAGAATATTTGTTGAAATTGTTTTAGCGTTTGAGAAAATACAAACTCCATTTGAATTCAAACAAATGCATTTTTGGTGTTTGTTCCGGGAAGATTTTGGGTTTCATTGTCAGCCAAAAAGGTATAGAGGTGGATCCATACAAATTCAGGCCTATTCGAGATATGCCTGCACCTAAAACAGAAAAGTAAGTCAGAGGGTTCCTTGGACGTGTGAATTATATATATAGGTTCACCTCTCACATGACTGCCACTTATGAGCCATTCTTCAAATTGCTTTGTAAAGATCAAAGTATTGTATGGAATGAAGATTGTCTGAAGGTCTTTGGTAGTATTTAAGATTACTTGGTTGAGCCTCCTATTTTGATCCCGCCAATGGAAGGGAAACCTCTGATTATGTATTAAACAGTCTTGGAGGGATCGATTGGTTGTGTCCTCACTGAGTAAGAAATTCATAGATTGTGAGTCTCGGTATTCGTTGCTTGAGAAAACTTGTTGTGCTTTGGCATGGGCTTCCCGGCGTCTTCGATTGTATATGTTGAACCATACTACTTGGTTGATATCCAAAATGGATCCTATCAAGTATATTTTTGAGAAGCCTGCGCTGATAGGAAGAATTTCCCGTTGGCAGATGTTGCTATCAGAATATGACATTGAATATCATACTCAGAAAGTTATTAAAGAAAATGTATTGATAGATCATTTGCCTCATAAGATGATTGATGATTATCAGCCTATCTAGTTTGACTTTCCTGATAAGGATGATATGGCCATTGGAGCTAAAGATTATGATGAACCAGGTCCTGAAGAAGGACTAGACCTGGATCCCGATGGGGTTTGGTATTTTATGGAGCCTCTAATGCATATGGTCATGGAGTTGGAGCAATTATAATCACTCCTCTAGGTTCTCATATTCCTTGTACTGCAAGGATATGTTTTAATTATATGAATAATATGGCAGAGTATAAAGCGTTTATCCTTGGCCTCGAAGAAGCCATTGATCTTAGAATCAAGAACCTCGATGTCTTTGGGGATTCAACTTTAGTTATCAATCAGATCAAAGGTGAACAGGAAAACTCGTCATTTGGTTTGACCCCATATAAAGATTATGCTAGGCAGTTGTTGCTTTCTTTGATAAAGTCAATTTCCATCATATACCTCGAGAGAAGAATCAAATGGCAGATGCTTTAGCCACCCTGTCATCCATGTACCGGGTAAATTTCTGGAACGAGGCACCCCAAATTACAATCCAACATCAGGATAGACCTATGTCACAATTGTGAAAAAGGGCCGACAAAAACAAACAGAAGAGTCGCCATCGAACGTTATTTATCCCAAAGGAGGGAAAGGAAACGATAGAAGAAAACCTAAGAGAAAGGAGAAGACAAGGTCATCGTAACTAAATCTTCGGTTCGAGAGTCGGCTATGCAAGGGGAAGGTATTAGCACCCCCTCACGTCCGTTGTAATCAACGGGATCCATGCTTGTTGTCTAATCAAAGGGTGTGTTATCTAAAAGCTACTTCTAAACAGGGGTGGGAAAATAAAAAGGAGACTCGATAGGATATCGCCGCCCTATGCCTACGTATTCCCTCGTGCAATGGGAAAGTCAGAGTCAACGTAGTTTGAAAAACTACGGGTGATGTAGGAAAGGTTTCTCGCCAAGACATCACCGTATTGTGCCTACGTATCCTCATCTGGTATGAGAAATCAGAGCAAACGTAGTTCGGGTAACTAAACCACTTGTCGGTTAAGTGTTTTTATGAGTAACGCTAAGTTACCATTTTAGTAGTTAGGGACAATGCCTTTTTGCGGTAGAACAGAAAAATAACGTACTCTTTTTTGAAAATTATTTTGAAACAAATCCTGAAGGTTAAAAAGGTTTGAATTTGGTTTTATAGTTTTAGAGAAGGAATTGAATTTTTTTGAGGTTCGCGTTGCACTAAAGAATATGACATATGAGTGAATGTGTCGCATATCGCTCAAAGGGCATACACTAAGCACTCTAGACAAGTGAAGAGAAACCCCTCACTCACCATTTTCCATATGCTTAAGGCTCATGGCGCTCAATGTTCGTCATTCTTTATTAAGTGTCTTAAAGTTGTTTGAGATGAGATGAGATGACACAAAGAAAACACTAAAGAGAAACTGAAAACCCTAATGTTATCATACAAAATAGTCCTAAGGTTAGGATGAAAAGGAAGTCTACCTAATTTTATCATAAAAAAGATGGACCTAAAGTTGAGGTCAAGAAGGGACTATCCTAATTGTTATCATGCAATGGATTAAAAGCCTAATGTCTCTTCTACTCCCACCTTAATCAAAAATTAAGTGGGACTAGGAATCCTAAGGGATCATGTGAACAAGCACAAGTAAACATCATACTAATCAATCACAAATGAAAACAAAATCAAGACTTAACCAAGTCTCAATAAAAGAAAGAGAATAAAGAAGAATGAGAGATGAAGGAGAAGAAGCAACACCAAGTAAACACTCATGGAAGTTCAACTCAAAAGGCAAAGCAAGCACACAAGCAAGCATTGATCTCAATCATACAAGGTACACATCAACATCATGTTAAAGTAACAAGAAAATGCATATATGCCAAACCATACTCAAATATTGGAAGTCAAAATAAATTGGCAAGACAAAGTACCAAAACACACACAAATGACTTAAAGTCCAACAAGAAGTATTATCAATCATCAAGCAAAGGGAAATGAAGTCAAATGAGATGAGAAATAAGGTAGGGCAGTAGCAACATCATATCATGTTCAACTCAATTCAAAAATTAGAAAATATGCACAAGAGTGTCAAACATACATCCTATCAATATCCAAACAAATAGCCATAACTAGCTCATACAAAACACACTTCAAATGATCAAACATGTGAGATTAAAGTATGAAACCAAGTGAGGGAAGTGACATAATCATGTACATTAATCCATCATCAACACATGAATCACAAAAAGAAATATCAAAGATTAAACTCAAAGTATGCATCAAGACTAATCAAGCATATACCAAAATCATCCTTAAAGAAAAGGAAATGTTCAAGCAAGGCACAGAGCATAAATGATCAAGCAAGGCACACCATACATCAAGGTTAGAAGCATACTCAAATGATCCACATCACATTCATTTTTAAGATATCATACAAGTTCAACAATCATCATACTCAAAAAGTTAGGCAAATATCATTCAAATCATCCATAACAAGAACAAAGTGATCATATGAAGAGAAAAATAAGAAATGATCATACAATGAACATCATATCATGCAAATAAAAACCTCAAACATCATTCAAAGCATACAAGTATTCAAAAACATCCATTAGGTCACACAATAAGTCATCTCAAGGAATTAGGTCAAGAACAACAAAGGAGCAAGCTCAAAACACCATAAACTTAAGAATTCAACAAAAAATAAAAAATAAACAAATGCCAATTAATCCAAAGCCAC